CTCGTTAACGGTGCCTCGGAGAACATTTTTGTAAAGGAAGAAGTTGCTTCAAATGATCCGAGGAACCCGCCATTTCCGGATTGCGAGACATTTTTGGGACACCCTGTAGACTGTTGTAAGTCGATGTGAAGACAAAAGAAGTGTGAACCAATGCATATGAAGACGATTATTTGGTTCAAACGATGAGCGAGTGAGCTACTAGAGCAAGCCACTATAGTGGCGCGTCGTCCAGAGAGATGACACCCGCGAAAGCCACTATAGTGGCGTGTCGTTCTGAAAGATGACATCCGCGGAAGCCATTATAGTGGCGCGTCGTGCCTAAAAGGTTAAAGATAAAAGAGATATTTGTCAGAAATAACCCAAATACTGTACGAGTCGTTTTTACTTAGCTGCGGCGATAGCGATTTAGCGACTGCCCACGCATCGAAATCACCGGAGACGCGTCAGCGTTTCGTCTCATTTACGATTTTATTATTAATGAGGAACGTCCGTCGAGTCAATAATATGTCGATATTTAGTTGGGCGATAGTATTATTCATCTGGATTTCAAAAGTTTACAACATAATCACGGAAGACACCATGTATCATTAAATTGAATATTAGTTTCTACTACAGTATTGGTTTTTCTTCGACGAAGTGTCAACTTTTGCGTTGACTCTGTGCCTCAAAGTTCACAAACGACAAAATTCGAAATAATGAATCTTAAGTTCTTCGTTTATCTCCTTTCATTGTACAAATTGTTTTGATTTTATCGAAGTTTTTGAGGGTCGATCGGTAATCAATCCTAGCGTTAACGGCGCCAAGACTATCGGAGGAACAGTTTAATCAAGTACAATAATGGAGTACGCAATTTACCTTGACAACGATCGTTGCCGGAGACAGCAGTTCATGCTCGTGTAGTAGTCGCGTGATGGCAACTTCGGCAGTATCGGGATTTAAAGTGAGGAACGGCAGAATTCCGCCTTGGATCGTGTATTTCACCGGCGCGTTGATTCCTACATCTTGATCTACGGCTCTTATCGGAGCAGGATCTACTATCAGCACTCTCCTCTGAAAAATATATCCAATTCATTTTTCTTCATTCGAAAATGTTGAACAGTGCAACAGCGATTCTCTAATTAATCAACGCTTTACACTTGCAGAATTTTCTCGGTTCGTCTGTCAACGACTCGAACACATTTATTCGCGGAGTAGAAAAGTAACTAATAAAATAATTATGGTGAGATGTTTAGTTAATATGTATACGTTATATTAGTTAATAATAATATTTAGGAGTTAGTAATAATATACAGTACTGACCAATAAAATATAAAATGATGTAAAATTGGAAATAATTACTCTACTTAAAAATGGGATGTAGCACAAGATTGTATCGATATACAGGGTGTCTCATAATTATGTTAACAGCCGAAAAGGGGCGATACCTGAGGTTATTTGAAGCAACATTTTCCTTGGCGAAAATGCAATCCGCGGCTTCGTTTACGAGTTATTAACGAAAAACACTGACCAGTGAGAGGTCGCGTACGGCTGACGCCCCGCCCTCGCGATCACTGCCAGTGCGACAGACGGCCTGCGCGACGCAGTATTGGCCGCACGGGCGGAGGTCCGGCCGCACTCGCTCTCTAATTGGTTAGTGTTTTTCGTTAATAACTCGTGAACGAGGCCGTGGATTGCATTTTCGCTAAGGAAAAAATTATGTCAAAGTTAAATTCCTTCAAAAATCATTCCTTTCCGGATGTCAAAATCTACATGGCACTCGAAAAGTTAACCCTTTGCACTCCGTTCTCCCCTCTCGTGGGACATTAAAGTTTATTAGTGATTACGGGGAATTGAGTTATTTGAGCGCAATTTTTTGAGACATGCATGTTTCCCTGAAGTTTTCTCTTGAAATGTCACAAGAAATCAAATCAAAATATAGTAAAATTACTAAGATATGTACAAGAAATGTCAGCGGGTTTGACGAGAACGTGAGAGGCGTGCTCGCGACGGTCCGAGCACTTCAAAGACGCCACTTGAAAAGAGCGATAAGGCAAGTATGTAGAAGAAAGATCGGTATGCGAACATTGCACGCACTGTATAGTGAGATTTATAATCATAAAATCTGGAGGAAAAGATTTTCAAAGCTGAACTCAGTCTGGTTTGAAGCGTCGAGCGGTATAGATAGATCTAACGAGTGAGAAAATCGGAAAAGTGATTCTTCTCTTGGTAAATAAATTGTTCGGTAAAAGTTTTGTTTGGTAAATATCATCTTGCGAGTTAGTAATAACAATTAGAAATTTTCAACCTATGTATTTATTCATATTTTTTATTAGAA